TTATATATATGTATGTATGAAAAATATATCAAAAATGCATGTGGGCACTCAACTGAAAGCTCTTGATGAGTGTAACATCGGGATGTGCTTATATCTTTAAAAATGTCAATATTTCACTAGATACTTGTTAAATTGCATTGTACTTTCTTAAATATTGACATTTCTAAAGATATAAGCTCACTCCGATGTTACACTCATCAAGAGCTTTCATTTGAGTACCCACATGCATTTTTGATATATTTTTCATACATACATATATGTAATATATATAAATATATAAAATATATGAAAAATTGATGTGGGTAGTCAAATGAAAGGTCTTGATGAGTGTAACATCGGGATGTGCTTATATCTTTAAAAATGTCAATAGTTCACAAGATACAAGGTCATTTCATGTATCTAGAGAAAGAGAGCATTTTCGAATGCAGCCTAAATACTTATTATCAATAATATAGATTACTTCTTAGTAATTAATAATTAGCCTTATAAATTTGATCGTTGAAATTTCAGGTACATGTTAATATTTAATTTAAAAAACAACTATGAATATTTGAAGTACTGTTTTTCTCTGTAATAAATATTGCTCGCATATTTATAATCGCTTTCGTCGATATTCCACATCATCAACATGTAAATTGTTATGATAGACGACAACAAGAACCGATCGATGCTAAAAAATAAAATATTGTAATTTATAGTTAATTAATTAACATAGTAATCACTTTAATAATTAACTTACGTCATGTAAGGGTGAATCCAAAAGATAATAATGAATCCGACGAAACTAGGATGCCTCATATGATCTAAATACCTTTGATACTCCTTTGACTTAACAGCTAACGCTCCAGGCTTATTAAGTACTTTGCAGTAAATTTGTTTCCACCCCAACAACTCGGTGACATCAAGCATACAGCAGCCACCGAGTATAATTAGCCATCCGAATAGATGTAGAGCAGAAAATAAAATCCAAGAATACATGTTAGACTCTGTATTTACTTCCCAGAGCGTAATCAGGGGTACTGGCTTCCAGTTTCTCATTAAATAATCCAGACACACTGAACTCAATGCATTGTATATACTTCTTTCGTACTCGGAGATGTTCAATTTTTTATACAAGCGCTTGATAAGTCTACTAGCCATTACAGAGTGCTGGATCAAGAACAAGAATAATAAATACAAGTTCATCAAAATGTTCCAAGCAGCTGTGAGACTTTCAGCATTATCATTATTATCTACAATAAAAATAAATCAAATTAATTGAAATTAATAAAAATTTTTCTATAGATGTTTAATTAATTTTAATAATTATAAAATTTTTTTTTCTTATTAAATTAGAACTAAAAAATATTTTTAAAAAATTGCACTTATAGTTTTTCAATTTTTTTACAAATGAATTTTTTTTTTAATAATTTTTCCAAGAAAAAAAATTATTAGTAAAAATTTTTAGAAGCATTTTTTTGTTGTAATTGTTTTGTAAAAATTGAAAAAATTGAATAAAAATTAATTTCGCAGCTATTTAATCATTTTTGGAACTTTTGCTAACAAATAAATTATGACAAAAAAAAATAAGAAAAAAAAACTGAGATGTAGAAATTTGAAAAAATTAAAAATGCAATTTATTTAAAATAATTTTTTAGAACTAATTTAATTGTTAAATATAATTAAAAATTTGTCAAATGACAGCTAACTTTAATGATGACACTTAAGTTAGCAGACGTCAAAAAATTTTTTATTAATTAAATTACAACTAAAAAGATATTTATAAAAAATTGCACTTATAGTTTTTCAAGTTTTTTAGATGAGAAAAATTTTTTTTTTCAATTATTTTATTAAAATTTTTTCTTAACTTCATTTTCATACTTTAATGACTTAAAAATTGACAGTTATCAGCTAACCAGTATCATTTAATTTTTTCCAAATTTCCAATGACAGCTGCATAAATTTAATGTAATATAAAAATAATTACCAGAAGTTTGTACAGCTTTATGATTTTGATTATTATTAGAAATAAAATAAATTAAACAATAAACCACATAAATAGTATAAAAAATACTAATGGATCCAATCAATAAGCTGAATAAATTTCTTAACATCATCTTCATTTATATTTTTTATTTACACAATTAATCAAAACAAATAAACTTTTTCTCATTAATTTTCTTGCAATGACAGCCAACTTGTCGAAAAATTACTTATTTATTAAAAGTATATAATTGTTTCAGTTTAAAAAATTCATTGTACCGATAAGAAAGAAACTAATTTCTTAATTTCAGTCAAAGATGGCGCTACGATATTTTTTTTTCCTAAAAAAAAATAAACTTTACTTTATTTACTCGATAATTAATTAAATTAATTATTTTATTATTAAGCTATAATTACTGAGTAATCTAAACCTTGCGAAGACTATTAAAGCAAGCGACTTAGCTGTCATGCGAATAAATAATACGCAATAAAATAGCTGATGTATGAATGGTCTGGTCTTGGGCTTGGGAATATAAAGGAATGATAATGGCGCTCGTGTCATTGCTCCAATGGACACCCTGGAAGTAACAAGTCTTGTGGTTTGCTCTTTATAAGAAAAAGCAAACCAGTGCCATAAAACAAGAATATTAATTAAAATAGTTAATAAAATTAAAAGAAGAAATAAAACATATTTAAAATAATAATAATAACAGTAAAGTAATTACTTTATATATATATATATATATATATAAAATAATAACAACAATAATAACCTACATCACTGAAGATACGATAAAAAAAAGAAAAGACAAAAAGCCCTAAACAATTGTTACTAATTAATTGTTGATGGGCACGGAGCATCCATTTTTAAAATTACTTCACCAAGTCAAGTCGCCTTATTATATAGTTAGTTAATTAATTGGTTGATCTTTCGATTTGTCGGTCGACTATTTTTAAAAAATAATTTAATTGTATCATATTATATTTTTTAGGTGGAAATTTAACGCCAAAGTTTGGAGTGATCAAGTGTTTAATTTAAGTGCGACACATTAGATACCAAAAACAATGGATTACGTGTTGATAAAAGACATACGACCCGGACAAAAAAATATAAATGTGGTATTTATTGTTCTTGAGGTTGGACATCCTACAATAACTAAAGAAAACCGCGAAGTTCGAACATTCAAAGTCGCTGACGCGACCGCGTGTATGAATGTGTCAATTTGGGATGAACCAGGACAATTGTTGGTACCTGGTGATATTGTGAGACTTACAAAGGGTTACGCGTCCGTCTGGAGACAATGTTTGACACTTTATTCTGGTAAAAATGGTGATATACAAAAAATAGGTGAATTTTGTATGGTTATTAATGAACAATTGAATATGAGCGAACCTAATCCTGCCTTAGCTCAACAACTTGTCAATCAAGGTGGATCTGGACCACCTGGGAATATTAATAATACCATTACTAATAATGGTAATGCTAATAATATTGCTGGCACGCCTAGACAGTCACCTATTGTAAGTTTAATTTATTTTATTATGTAATAAGCACTTATTATTATAATTTATAATCTATATTATTAAGAGAGTAGGAAAAATTTTGTGTTCAGGATAGTCATAATTAAGAAATGACATTGTATCTTGTGAACTATTGAAATTTTTTAAAATATAAGCTCATCCTGATGTTACACTCATCAAGACCTTTCATTTGAGTACCCACATCAACTTTTCATATATTTTATATATTTATAAATATATTATATACGTATATATCAAAAATCCATGTGGGTACTCAAATGAAAGCTCTTGATGAATGTAACATCGGGATGAGCCTATATCTTTAAAAATGTCAATATTTAAGAAAGTTCAGTGCAATTTAACGAAGCTCATTATTTATTAAAGAAAAATTTTATTTATTTATAGTTCACAAGTTTCCACAGTCACATAATGACTACAAGGTTGCTAGTAATTTAATTAACAGATTAAATTCAACCAATTCAAATAATATCATTCTCACCGACAGTCAATTTATTATGATAAGTACTTGAGCTGCATTTGAAAATGCTCTATCTCTAGATACATAATTAAGAAATGACCTTGTATCTTGTGAACTACTGACATTTTTAAAGATATAAGCTCATTCCGATGTTATACTCATCAAGACCTTTCATTTGAGTACCCACATCAATTTTTCATATATATATATATATATATATGTATTTATGAAAAATATATGAAAATGCATGTGGGTACTCAAATGAAAGCTCTTGATGAGCGTAACGTCGGGATGAACTTATATCTTTAAAAATGTCAATATTTAAGAAAGTACAGTGCAATTTAATAAAGAAAAATTTTATTTATTTATAGTTCACAAGTCTCGGCAGTGACATAGTGACTGCAAGATTGCTATTTTTATTTTATTTTTTATTGTATCAATTGACATTTATTTATTTAATTATTGATTGATTGATAGGCAATCCAAAGCAATTCAACAACAGCAAACTCAACAGCGAGCAGTTCGACTAAAAGTGGTAACGGCAGTGGCACTGGTGGTTCAGGAAGTAGTGGTCCAAGCTCCACGGGACTACCGGGTGGTTCTGCAAGATTTAGCAATGAAAGTACTCCAAAGACGACGGCAGCCTCAACTGGAAAAAGCAGCACGCGTGGCCGAGGAAATTACCGAAACGGCGGTCGCAGTGATCGCAGATAACACCACGAGTCAATAAACTCGGCTGTAAAAATTGTGTCTAAATCAAATGAGATTCTTACAATAAAAATTTATCTCATTGTAATGTAATATAGGTAATTGTGTTCTCAACACTCATGTACAGTACGTGAATTATCTTTATTTTATTATTTTTATCCACTTAAGTTCTCAGATGTAAACAGGTTTTATGGCTATATCATGTAAATTAATTTTTTGTCATTAAGGATTATATATCTCTTGAAGAATTAAATATCTTAGAGGCGATACTCTATTTTCTATCATTTTACTTAGATATTTTTTTACATGCAATAGGCAGTCATTTTAATGAAAATAAATTTTTATTTTGGAGTACTGAGAAAAAAAATGATTTTTATATAATCATTATTTTCTTCATAATTAATATTTTTATTTTTCTCAGTGTCAAATGATTAGTTCTTTCTTCTTTTAGTTTCATTCATCTCCCTTTATTGATTATTGTTAATATCAATTAAAATTTGGGAGTAAAAAAAGCTCGAAATTGATCAAGTTCTTATAAATTAAATTTAATTATCGATTTAAAGAATTTAATTTATTAAAATAGTTTTGGGAAATAAAATTGTAATTTAACAAACAGTTAATGTTATATTGAATAAATATTGTAAGATTTATCGTGAAAAAATGAATGATTTTATTTATCAGCTTAGTATTGTTTCAACATCGAATTTTTTTTTTTTATAATTTGTAAAAAGAAGTAAGAAGAGTTAATGCAAACTCGCAATAAATTAATTATTTCCCGGAAAGTAGTTTTTTTTTTTTTTTTTTCATGGTCACTAAACTACTTACATAATTTTTTTCAGCCTAAAATATTTCATTTTATTCTTTAGAGAATTATCTAATTATTGTTTTAAAAAAAAATTTTTTTTCTCGAAGAAAAAACTACATCGAATAATATAAAAATATCAGCATCTTTTCTATTGCTCTTATTTAAATATTTTTATATATCTTCTTTTTTTTTCCACATTGTGCAGTACCTCATGATCTTCACTAGTTCAATAATCTAAGGGTATAATAAAGAACTCATTTTTGGTCTTTTTTTTTTCTTCTTAAAAATGAAACTAAGTCTAAAAAATTGCACTCATAATTTTTCAGAGCTTCTCAAGATTGAATTTTCTAAATAAATTTTTTTTTGCTATAATTTTTTTATATAAAAAATTCTCAATTTTAATATCATTTTTTAAGAGAATAAAGTTAGCCGTTTATTAAAAAAAATTATTACAAAAAATTTTTTAATTTGTAAAAAACTTCAAAAACTATAAGTGCAATTTTTTAAAAATATTTTTTAGCTCTAATTTAATGAATTAAGCAAAATCAAAAAATTAAAAATACCACCTACATTTTCTTACTATATTTCTAATTGTATTTCATTTTATTCTACAAGATAGTCATAACAACAATTCAAAACACAACACCAGCGGGCAGGTGGATTCTCCATCAATCAGCTGATTTGTCTTGTGAATATACTGGGTGTTGTAACAAAATTATATGTCTTAAGAATGATCGTGAAGTTAGCTAACAGCTGTCAATTTTTTAAATTCTTATAATAAATAATTTACAATAATAAAAAATTTCCACTAATAATTTATAAAAATTAATTTACCAATTTATTCATAATTTTAAGAATTTTTTTAATAAATTAATTATCAAAAAAAAATTGACAAAGGAATTTTTTTAAAAATAATTTTTCAGGATAAATTTTTTTTTTTTAAAAACTCAAGTGATTCACGTGATTACTAACTTTAATGTCATTAATAATTTTATTTTAATTTTCACATGTGAAATTTTTTTAATAAATTTTTTTCATTATAATTTAATTGTTATAAAATTATAAAAAAATTTCTTTTGTCAGTCAACTTTAGTGAGTGTTGTGTCTTAAGAAAATATAATTTCAAGTAATTCCATATGCGTCACTGGGTATATGTCGGTGTATAATGTAGATTATCACGTTCTAAACTCAGTGTGTGTGTAAACGAGGGATAATACGTACTGACATAACATATAAATATTTCTATTTCTAATGAGTAATTTATTTTTATAGTTTTTATCTGTTTAGATAAAAAAATTTCAATTTTTTAAGGCATTTACATGTAACAAAATAACTACATTAAAATATATGTGATTCTAAAGGTTATGTTTATATTTACCTGACGTCAACACCGTATGTTAAAAGAAACTGAAAGGTAAATTAATACAATATGTAATTAATTAGTTACAATAACCAGCTTTATTGTTAATAAATAATTTATATTTTTTATTTCAGGAGAAAGTCAATAATAAGTGAAAAAAATGTGGATTTAATAAATAAAAAACAAATAATACTAACACGAATGATCTGATGTTTATCTTGTGATTTTTAACTTAATATAAATTAATGATTAATAATTATCAATAATACTCATAAATAAATTTAATATGCCAATTTCGGATGTCAAATATGAAGCAGCTCGAGATGAACCGGAACCGATGGATTGTTATTTACAACACGCACAGGAATATCAAACGACGTCTAAAGTTCCAAAAAGTTTTTGGAATATATTTGGACGATCTTTAGTTTTAGTCGGTTCATATTTTATATTATCTGTAGGATTAACATATTTTCAACAATGGTTTCTTAAAGACCATGTAAGTACAAATTAATTTTGGAGTGAAATTAGCAGACACTTGACAATTTTTTTTATTAATTAATAAATTAGAGCTAAAAAAATTGCATATATTTTTTTTTTTTAATTTTTTACATGCAAATTTTTAATAAGAAAAATTTTGAAAATTGTCAGATGTCTGCTAATTTTATTTTCACATTAATTTTATTCAATTTCGAGATACTGAAAGAACAAGATTGCTTGAAAATAATTTATTATTAACGACTCCAATTGCAGAATTTCCATTATCCATTAAGTGTTGTAATGTGTCATTTACTAGTCAAATTATTTTTATCAGCGTTTATAAGAAACGTCAAATCATACAAACGAGGACAGCAGCAAGTGCGTTTATCATGGCAAAGTATCTTATCAGCTTTAGCGCCACCGGGAATAGCCAGTGGACTTGATGTCGGTTTTTCAAACTGGGCACTTTCAATTATTTCCTTATCATTGTAAATAATTATAATTTACTCATATCCAGTATTATATTATGCACTGAAAAAAAAAAAAATTCACTTGATTTAAGAGTAAAATTTTGATATTATAAATTCCCAGAGTTTAAGCATTTTTAAAAGTAAAATATTCGACTTTTTTTTCTGTTACGTGAGATTGAAGGAAAACAGTAATTTAATTCTGATTTTTTTTTTTACGATTTTTGTCTTGAGACTACTTTTATTTCTTTTCATTTCTGTGCTTTTCTTGGAATACTATTCTGATTAGAAAAAAAAAAGCTCCTTAAATTCTAAATTCTATAAATGTGAATATATAATGTTGATGTATTTTGTTAATTTGTCATTCGACTTATGAGGCCTTGGCATAACTTTTTGATAAATAAATAAATAAATTTTGAAAAGGATAATTGTCTTGAATGAAGACAAAAAATTTTTGAATCAAGTAGTAAAATTGTCTTAAATCAAGAATTTTTATACTCAAATCAAGAATATCAAGTTAAAGAACATTTTTTTTTTCTGTGTGCCTCATTATATTTAATATTTTAGGTACACAATGACCAAATCTACGAGTATTATATTTATTCTTGGATTTTCATTGGTTTTTAATCTAGAGAAAAAGGTCAGTTTTTATTCCCACTTTTTACTAGAACAAAAAATAAAAATAATTACTGATAAAAGTCTATTTTTCAGTCATGGTCATTAGTCGGAGTTGTTATTATGATATCTAGTGGATTAATAATGTTTACATACAAGTCAACGCAATTTGTTGTTGCTGGTTTTATTTTATGTTTACTGGCATCTTTTGCCAGTGGTCTACGATGGACAATGGCTCAATTAATAATGCAAAAATCTAAATTGGGTATCAAAAGTCCTATTGATATGATGTATTATATGCAGTCGTGGATGTTGTTAGCTATTTTTCCTATGGCTTTGTGGTTTGAAAGTATAACTTTAATTTCTTTATAAAATAAAAAAATTTGTTTATTTCTCTTTTAATTGTTTAAAATAATTGATTTTTTTTTTCTTTAATTTTTACTACGTATTTAGGTCAAGAAATGTTCTATAATATTCAAAAAATAGATTGGAGTCAGCCACATCAAGTTTTGTGGACGATAACTGCTGTCTTTATTGGTGCCATACTAGCTTTTAATATGGAAGTAATGGAATTTATGGTAGTTACGTATACTTCTAGTCTTACATTAGCCATTTTGGGTATTTTAAAGGTAAAAATTAATTATAAATTATATAAATAATAATTAATAAATTAATAAAAATATTTTTGTATTAGGAAATTTGTATATTAGTACTAGCCTTTGCGTTTAAAGGCGACCAAATAAGCCGTATCAATTTCTTCGGATTATTGCTGTGCCTTGGTGGTATCGTGTTGCATGTAATGCAAAAAATACTGACAAACAAAAAAGAGATTCAAGAAAATCTTGAATTACATTCCAATTCAATGACCACAGTTGGATCTGTTGAAGAGGACATGGATACAAACATGCCACTGTTGACCGAGAGATCTACATCTCTTACGAATTTGTTGAACTCAAATTTTAGTACAGACGATGACGATGATAAAGACAAAGATGACAGCTCAGAAGTTCTTTTCAATATTTTACAACGACGTGAGCCGTAAATTTTATCTCCATTTTTTAAGGATTTATTTTATTTAAACTCATTCCATCCTTAAAGTTTTATTATAGACAATAGATATTATATTTTATAAACAGCAGTCTTAAATATGAATTTATTTATTTTTAAAAGTTTTACGGAAAAATGTTGAATTTACAAATTGTTATTGCATAAAAAAAAAAGTAATTTTTTTTTTTTTAAATTAATCAATTGCTATTTTTTTAATTAAAAATTCATAACTTCAAATTAATCCCGGAAAAAATTTTTAAGTTTATTTCAGATTTATTAAATTATTATTATTATTTTTTTTATTTTATTATAATTTTAATGAAATAATATAAATTTTTCATAATTTAAAAATTTTTTTCGGGTCTATTTTTTCCGATTACCCTTCAAATATGTCCGCGCACAAAAGATTTTACAACTTTGTACCAATTAAAAAAAGTAAATACTTAATAGTAAGACTTGAATACGTAATTATAAATTTAAATGGATAAACAATTTTTTTTTTTTTTTTTTTTTTTTTTTTTTTTTTTTTATTAAATAATGTTTATCTTTTTTAATTCTATCTAGACTATTTCAATAAATATAAATTGCTTTTTTTTATAAAATAATACAATTAATTGCGAATTGATTAGTGTGTATGTGCAATCGAGTTGTTAAAATATGAAAACATTAATTATAAATAATATCAGATAACGTAGAGTTTTTTTAATGATAAATAAACTTAAAATAAGTGATGTTAAGTATAATTATAAATTAGTAATTATAAGTAAGTAAAAAAAAAATTATCTACGTAATCAAAGTCCAGAATTGAGTATAATTTTTACTTAACATATTTAAGAAAACCAAAAATCAATTACTGGATTAATTAATTAATAATAATTTACCAATTGTCAAGTGTCATATATTTAATAGTTTTAAATAATAGATTTATAAAAATTTTGTATCAACAAAAACATTCCAATTTGCACTTAAAATATTTTGGCACTAATTTATATATATTTTCTCCATAACTGCGATTGCTTAAAATATCAAAATATTGTCTGCACTTTGATAAAATTGTATTACTACTGTGATACATTGTGAATAATTTTATGTAAGTAATGAGATAAAAATTAATAGCCTTATTGTGATTACCGATATGAATATAAATATAAAGAATAATTGAAATAAATAAATAATTAATAATAGATCTCTGGAAAGTATATTATTAAGTTAAATAAAATAATTACCGTCTAAATTGCTTTTAGTAAATTGTTAAATAATAATTAATTACAGTCTAGCTTGTCGAGTTTGATTAGTTCTTTTAGATTTGGCTTCAATTTTATCCTCCAGTTTGTGAATCAATTCGTCTAACTCGTCCTGTTTGTCAGATAAATTAATATATATTATTTTATAATTATTAATTATTAGAATATTACTAAAAAACAATAATTTATTTAACTCACCTCACTATACGTATACTTCAAAGTACAATGCTTAAGTACTTGTTTTTTACGGCCTATCAATTGTAATCCATGAGGAAGACAGTAAACACTATCGTCTTGAGAATTATTAACTAAAGAAACAAATAAAGTAGCGCGACAATTTTCACACTCGTAATCGTCTTCATCTTCAGAAAATTTCTGTCCTTTTTTACGTTTACCGCTACCAGGTAATGGTAATTTTTCTTTATTATTCAATCCATAATATTCTAATTGTTGACGATAGTTTAATTCTCGGTCTCGTATTTTTGTAACAACTGGTAAAATCTGAAAAAAAAAAAAAAAAAATTTTTAGTTAATAACTTAAAAAAAAAATTATATAATACTGAAGTTGACAGACATTAGAATTTTTTTTTTTAATTTTATAGTTACCTGTTTCAATACATCTACATGAGATCTAGTATCATTAATAATACTAAAAAGTAACCTTTCAAATGAGAACATTGATGGTTCACAGCTATCTTGAAGATCCTAAAAAAAAATAATTCAATTAATAAATAAATAAAAATAAATTATTTTCAAAATATTACACAATTACCTTAAATATTTGTTCAGCATGTTCAAGCCACGTAGTCTGAGCAAAGTAAACACTTTCCGAGACAACATACCCCGTACAAATACTGGAAGTGAATGCTTTAGGAAAAACAACAATAAATTGTCCCGGTTCTTGAACAGTCTTACACAAAGGAACACCATTGCTAACAAGCATCTCCGGCGGCACCATAGCAGTGTCAGACGGCAGCCAGATAGTTTTATTTTTACAAAACCTCGGTACCATCTTCGACAAAGCTTCTCGGAAGTTATTGCTATGTTCATCAGGAATTCCATACCAGATTTTTTTAGCACCAGTGTGTAAATATTCAATCCAAGGCAAGCCGTGGGGATCGCGGTACCAGCAGCAAGCACTGAAAAGCATGCCAACGTGAAGCGTGGGGACAGTGACACCCATCAGCGGACCCAGAGCTCTCAGGACCGAGCCGTTGTTGTTGGTCAAGACCTTGAGGTTCCAAGGATGTCTTGCAAAAGGACTGTTTTTAGCAACAGAGAACCCAAACCCACGGCCACTCGAGTCGATGCTTGCAGAGTGAACACAAACATGCCTTTTGCGCTCAGACACGTGCTTCCAAAAAGCGGCTTCAACTTCACAGGCAGAAGCTCCATCAGCTTCAATCCCACTCTGGTTTTCCGAGAACCACATGCGCTGAGTGTTCCGCGCAATCCTGTAGAAAGCATTTAAGGGCATGTTTCTACCCTTGACAATACACTCCTCGGTTTCATCAGAACTGTCCTCGTCTTCATCATCATCATTGTCACTCGACAGCGTACTATTGAGTCGCTGCAGTGCTTTGCTCTCGCGTTTTCTCCACTCAGCCTCCACTTGATCGAACAACTTCTCACGCTCATCCGTCGACAACGTGTCGTAGGGCAGCAAATACTTGCAATAAATATCATCAAGCTTAGTGACACGATCCTGAGCAGATTTTGGAATTTTCATTCCATCCGCTACTTTCTGCCACTTCTTTTTCTCAATCACTTCTTTCAGTCCTCCCAAACTCTGAACAGTTTGATACAAATGCGGCAAGTCTACTTCCATGCCTCCAATCCACGGCGGTTGATTTAAAGTGATGCTCTGAGTGGCCAAATATTTTTTAATCGCCATCATTTCTTTGACATTTGGACCCCAACGATGAAGCATGCGATGAATGTACTGATTGTAAGCCGTGAATCTCATATCATCCGACACTTTACACTCAGGCTTGAAATTAGAGGGAGGAACAACCCGGCAAATTCCATATTTCTCAGCAATGGGTCTTATTTTATCAATATACTCAAGCGGATCCTGAAAATCTTTCTCAGAAGGATAAAAAGTCGGAGCGTCTACTAACCTCGCTTCACCCTTCTCCTCCATTTTCGGGAAGAACTTCAACTTATCAGCCATCTCGGCGTTCTTCTTAGCCTTGGCAGAAAGTTTTCTGGCAACCTTGGGCGCATCTGCTGAACTTTTACGCTCCCGAGTAGCTTTAGGAGATTTAGGAATTTTTTCCGTTAGTTTAGCGACTTCTTGCGCCTCATTAGGTTTTATCGGTGACAAATTGGACGTCGAGGTTGAAGTAGACGTAGACTTTGAAGTAGAAGCTACAGGATCAATATCAGTTGGCGGAGTTCTGGTAGTAGGTTGAACAGTCCCCACTGGTGGGCACCTCGCAACAGCCATCGGAGGCTTGGTGACCAATTGGGCTCTCAACAATACTCGCTGATTAGGTCCCGTAGGTCCCTCCGTGCCCAATTTAACAGCCACTCCTTGTATCAACGGCTGGCCTTGTGCCAAATTGGGACCACTCCTCGCAACAGTTTGCAAGGGAATGTAAAATACATGCGCATCATTTTCGTCTTCATTCTCATTTGTGTTCTCAGTTTGTGTTGAGATTTCCGTGCTGCGTTGAATCATCTGGCTCTCTTCAGTCCCCTGGGTCTGCAAATCCTGGGACTGGTCGTCAAAATTCACCTGAACGGCTATGGAAGCACTGCAATTGACATTATTCCACACACTAGGAATTTTTCCCAGTGGAACTACCTGCACATTAGACATGTTCCTAAACGTACCGGGTATTTGATAGCTACCACTCGGTTCTTTGATTTTATCTCCACTTAAAAAAGATTTAGCTTCAACATCTTCACTGCTTGTGCCAACGCTTTTGGACTTGCTTCCACACTTATCCTCTTTTTCAGTAGACTTACCAGAAGCTCGTGCATTTCCGTCCTCGCTTTCTGTTCTCGACACATCCAAGTCAGAGGAACCAGAAGCCCCGGATTTGCTATCGCGCTGCTTCCGCCTGAACGGAGTGTTGATCGGAGCTTCAGTGTCGCTCTCAAATGCGTAAACACTGCTCTCATTTTCTGGAGAAAAAGCATTAATACTCGGAATAGCTGTCTTGCGTTCTTTAACCTTGGGCAAAAATGTTTTGCGTACCACTGACTTCTTATCAGGAGACTTTTTCTCAGGAGACCCTTCAACAGAAGTAGTCCCATCAGCTCTAGAGCTTACATCACTGTCTTCACAAACAGTATCTTTATTCAAACTACAAGCAGTTGCAGTTGTTGTAGTCTTAACAATTCTTCCTTTAATAATTTCCTTAATATCAGCATTGATTTTATTCCTGTTAGTCGTGGGCACAAGACTCACTGGAGTGGATAAATTAACAATCCCAGCACCGATAATAGTCCCCGCATTGACAAGTGTAGCAGCTCTAACTGCGTTATTCAGCCGTTCTTGCGTCAAAGATCTCTCAGCCATTTTAGCAATCGCGACATTCACTGGCCTCACCAGATGCTGAATTCGACTCGGAATCGATAAATGATTCATATCATTCTTACTTTTAGGAACTTCATAAGTAAAATTACTAACAGTCTCCATCTCAGCTTTACTCTCTTCTTTCGCCATAGAACTTTCATTCAGCCACTTTTCTATTTGCTCTGTCGACATATTAACCCGCTCTTTTCGCCCCAACGGCGAGGA